GTTTAACAAAGATAATCTTAAGGAATGAGTTGATCTCGGGTGGTGTGTGTGTGTGTGTGTGTGTGTGTGTGTGTGTGTGTGTGTGTGTAAAATCAGTCTAGAAATAAGATGCACATTTTTAACAGTGAGGGTAATTAACCATTGGAACAATTTACCAAGGTTTGTGGTAGATTCTCTGTCACTGGAAATCTTTACATTCAGATTGGATGTTTTTTCTAAACTATATGCTCTAGTTCAGTGGTTCTCAAACTTTAGAAACCCAAGAACCCCCATTCTGGTTAAAAAATTTTCACGGACCCCCAAGTTCCCTGCTCAGCCCCAGGCCCCACTCCCACCCACCCTTTTCCACGCCTTGATCCTCTCCCTCCCAGTGCCTCCTGTATGCTGCTGAACAGCTGTTCCCAGTGTACAGGAGGTGCTGGGAGGGAGGCAGAGGAGTTGATCAGTGGGGCCCACGGGCCCCCTGGAGTACCCTTGTGGACCCCATTTTGAGAAACGCTGCTCCAGTTCCCACAGGAATCAGCTCAGGTGAGTTCTATGGCCTGTGATATGTAGGAGATCAGTCTAGGAGATTATGATGGTCCCTTCTGCCCGTACATCTATGAAGAGTCCTATCCAGCACTCCGGACACAGGTAAAACTAGATTTCAGTGGGCATTTTGACTGAGTGAAGAGTGCTGAACAGGGCCCTTCAATTAATGAAATGGAAAGAGATGCACAAATGTGACAGTGTTGAATGATTGCTAATCAACGTGCTTTAATGAGAACCACTGACAGGAATCATCCTGAAATGTGGAAACACAAATTACCAAAACAAATTTCAGTAAATGTTTGCTATGTTAATAGATTTTTTTTTTTAATATTCTCAATAGAGTTTTTTGCTGAATCCCTTCACTTGCATCAGGCTGCCTTAATGCTTCAGGACTTGATGTAATATTTTTAACAAACTTAAGCTACTCATGGATGCCATGGTTAAAGAGTGACCTCGTAAAAACCTAGAAATCTAGGCAGACAGGTCGACTCAGATTCAAACAACCTTATCTGCAAAGTAACATGAAAATTCCTTACAGCGAGAAACTTGGCTCCATAACAGAATGGTGGCAACCCAGCTTAACCAGGCTATCCGTGACATTGTGGATGCACTGGTAAAGGTGAAGAAACCTGAGTCCTTGCACCTAGTATGTAAGACTTCAGTTGGTCTCAAACCTCTTGCGGAGAGCAAGGCTAGAGCACTGCCATTCCTATGGTAGTGCAGAATCCCCCTACTGGTGATGTCTTAACAGCAAGGGAAAATTAAGAATTCCTGACTAATTCTGGTATTTAGAAACATAACTATATGTGACATGACCTAATATACTAATGATGAGTGGCTTTAGGTTAACCTGCTCATAAGCTAGACCCTCAGGGCACTTAAAGGGAAATTTCATATTTTGGGTAATTTGCCCAAGACAGTTAATTGACCATAATGATTTCAGTACATTCTAGTTCACAGGCAAGAGAGAGAGAGTGTAATACTTTTCTCTAATCTCCCTAAAAAGAGAGAATAACATTTTAATTATTATATAATCTTTTGAAAGTTGTATGTTCACTTGGAGTTAGATAAAACAGCAGTAGCCTGTAATTGCTCCAATTATTATTGGTTAAAGAATTGCTAGTGTAAATTAGAGTTTAAGTACATGTAAAAGAGCAGAAATTAAATAACCTTTCCTAAACTGTTTGGGGCAATGCTGGCTGTTGAAGAGTTAGTTATTAATGAATTCTGTCACAAAGCTAGCAATGTAACTTGATGGACAGGGAGATAAGGCCTCATTCTGACTTCTCTTACAATGTTTTTCACACTGGTGTAAATCCATCAGCTTCAGTGGATTTCCCCCCTGGTAAACATTGCTGCAAGGGCTGGATTCTCCATCCCAAAGCCAGTTGGAGGGCTTTTTCCATTGACTTCACTGGGATCAGGTAAAGTAGCGAGCTTGAGCTGAGCGCCATATGCTTCTCTCTGTTATATGATGTAGGGGATGGCATTGGAATTAAGACCTTCAGTGCTATAAGCACAACCCTCTCCTACTTAAGGTAACAGGAAAAAGTCCTCTAGTTGAAAACCAGATGAGTTTCAAACCTCTTATGTGGACAAGCCTCTGAAGCGGTGGTGGGTAACCTGCGGGCCGCACGCAGCCTATCAGGGTAATCCACTAGCGGGCTGCCAGACAGTTTGTTTACGTTGACCATCCACAGGCATGGCCACCCGCAGCTGCCAGTGGCTGTGGTTCGCCGTTTCCAGCCAATGGGAGCTGCGGGAAATGGTGGCCAGCATGTCCCTTCGGCCCGCACTGGTTCCCGCTGCTCCTATTGGCCAGGAATGGCAAACTGCGGCCACTGGGAGCTGCAGGCAGCCGTGCCTGCCGGCGGTGCATGTAAACAAACGGTCTTGCAGCCCACCAGCGGATTACCCTGATGGGCCGCAGGTTACCCACCACTCTCTGAATTTGGGTTACACATGCAGCATCAGTCTACCGCCAAAAAGGTGGGTGTTGAGGAATAACATTCTTTGGAGTAAGAGGCCAGCTGATACTACCCCGAACTCCCAGCTGGAATGTGGAAACTGTTTAGATACATGTTGCAGAAGACATTAGAAAACAGAGGGTTTGGTGATGAAAGCATTCCTAGACACTTCTGTGATGTACCAAGGGTATTTGTCTGATGGCTGTCACTGCTGCCTGTAGGTACAGCAGTTCTATATCTATTGGTGTAAGAATGTACACAAAATTGTGCACATTACATTCCTCTTTGAGTGTCGGTCAGACTGGACCCTCATTAAAACTGCAGACTTGCGGGCATGTGATTCATCTAAACGAGCAAAGGAAGTGAACACTAATCGGTGTGTACTCAGGAGAATGAGCTTTCATTCACTAAAAAGCACACGATTTCCAGCCATCATTTGATGTTTCATCTTCCTTTCAGAATAACTACTGTTCAGCAAGAGAAATATCAGCATTATAGAAGGCTGCTTCTATTAGCCAATAGGGATTCAAATGTTACGTTTCTTTGTTCTAACAGGATGCCTTTCAAGAAGAATACTACAGAACAGGAACCTATCCAGCTACTCCCATAGTGCCACCTCGGCGGCCATGGACTCTTTTGAACTGGCTTTTCTGGGCCTTCTTGCTGCTATATCCTTTATTCCAGCTGCTTATCAACATGGTCAGCAGTGGATCATCACTGACGCTGGCTAGTTTTGCTTTTGTCATCATTGTGGGTAAGTTGTTTGAAGATCACTTATAGGAATAGCTCTTTAAAAGGGCAAAGGCCCATCTTTCATTTTTTTGGCAGGTACTATTTGCACTTGCCTAATGAAGTTCCAGATGCAAAGCAGATGTAATTTCCTGGTGTATATTTGCACTTACAATCAGGTAATTAGGGTGCAGGTCTCCAGACTTACACCCACAATTCAGTTGCTAGTGTAAAAATGCGGCTGTAGATTTAAAATTTGTGCTGTAGACAGACCAGTCCAGAAGCAATGCTGTTCCAGTGCATGTGAGAGAACTAGGGGTTTGGGTTAGTGGATGTGGACACAGCTGCACTGTACCTTAAAATAATGAGTGAATCTCCCCAAGTTGCTTCTCTGAACTGTCTGGCCTTCTGGAGTCTGCAAAATTGAGCTGGAAATTTCACAGCAAAATCCAGTTTCTGAACTTCCAGTCCTGAACTGGGTAAGGAAATGGAGAGGAGGGGAGCTAAAGTGAAATTTTTTGTTCATACTTACACAAAACTCCAGAGTTTGGGAAAATGATTGAATTGCTTTTTCATTTAAACCAGTTTGATTGGCCCTACCGGCACTGAACAATCAATGGAATATATTGATAATCAGCACTCAGAGCGTGTTCCTTCCTGCCCCACCCCATTCTTGTGGCTAAAGATTATTTGTTGGTGGCTGTGAGGTTGTAACACACCATCTGAAAATGTCATTGTTTACTCTTGCTTGATATCTATGCTACAGAGCCCTGTCATACACAAATGAGTATTCCTGTTGAGTGTGGGCTTGGGGACATCATGAAAGCCCAGGAGAGGAATTTAATATTCATTCATTCTGTTGTTATGACACTAACTATTGCAAATACCTTCTCCTGGTCTTGGAGTTTTACATCAGGTCCAAAGAAATGCAAATGTTTATAGATTCATGGACTTTTAAGGCCAGAATGGCCCACTGTGGCCATCCAGTCTGCCTTTTGCATGACACACCGTGGTTCCTGCATTAATCCAATAACTTGTGGTTGGAACTAGGGCTTCTCTTGTAGAAAGACATCCATGTTCAGTCAACTGCTCAAAGGGGGGAGGGAGGTGAAGAGAGAGGGATGAGTCTAAAAAAAGAGAGGCAGAGCCACATTAAGCATTCCTTCATCCTGGAGGGGACTTGACACTCCAATCAAGAGGAGTTATTGTCTAGGTGGATGGTGCTTGTGTAGTCCTTTGCAGTAGGTTATAGCCTAAGGCATTTGACCTCATTCTACTATCTATATGAGGTACCTGTATGACCCGCATTACATTGTATTTGAGCTCCTCACAATCATTAATACATTTACCCTTGCAATGCCCCGGTGAGGTAGGAAAGTGCTATTAGCTCCATTTTACAGATGGGGAACTGAGGCACAGAAAGATTAAAGCAGGGTTTTAAAGGTATTTAAGCACCTAATTGCTACTGAAATCAATGGGAGTTAGGCACCTATATACCTTTAAAAATCTGGGTCTAAGTCGAGTGACCAAGGTGAAGCCTATGCCTTAACTACTACATCATCTTTTCTCCCTAAACAATAAGGGAGGAAGGGACCAAAGAAAGCCAGCAGATCGAGGAATGTGATCATTCCCCTCTATTCGACTGACTTATGAGGAGAGGCTGAGGGAACTGGGATTGTTTTGTCTGCAGAAGAGAAGAATGAGGTGGGGTTTGATAGCTGCTTTCAACTACCTGAAAGGGGGTTCCAAAGAGGATGGATCTAGACTGTTCTCAGTGGTAGCAGATGACAGAACAAGGAGTAATGGTCTCAAGTTGCAGTGGGGGAGGTCTAGGCTGGATATTAGGAAAAACTTTTTCACTAGGAGGGTGGTGAAGCACTGGAATGGGTTACCTAGGGAGGTGGTGGAATCTCCTTCCTTATAGGTTTTAAAGGTCAGGCTTGACAAAGCCCTGGCTGGGATGATTTAGTTGGTGTTGGTCCTGCTTTGAGCAGGGGGTTGGACTAGATGACCTCCTGAGATGCCTTCCAACCCTGATATTCTATGAAAGCTGATTATGGTACTGCAAATACAAAAGAAGCCCTTTGGTTTTTCTTTCCTGCCTCATCCTCACTAGAGCACTTTGCTGGTTCCAACAGTTTAATAGGCTAGTTTAATAAGCAGGCTACTGAGACGTCTCTGTCTGAATGTGATGCTCATCCACAGGACTGGTTCTTAGGTCTCTACTTTGGCTGCTTGAAAAAGTAATCTATAACCGTTTGCTGCAGCCAAAGCAAGTGAGCAGGCTCGCAGGACACTGAGATGTGGTTGAGGGATGTAGTGACGCTAGCAAGATTAATGAATTGTTGCATACCGTACTCGTTGCTAGTAAGTGCCTGTCAGTCACATTTTGTGTGGTGCTGCAGGGTTTAACCTTCAACAGGGATTAGAGAACCTATCATGCTTCACAGCAACTTTGCACTCCTCTGTGTTTTAATGTTAAAAGAAACCTGAAAGTCAGAGGAGTTAGGAACCCAGTGTTATTGAATTTCAGTGAGAGCTGAGTGACTAATTCCCTTAGGTTCCTTTGAATATCCCAGACTTGGAGCTTAACAGATCATTAATGACAGCTTGTAACCACTGTGTTTATTGTGAGGAGGGAAAAATCCCATAGCATGTTGAAACATAGTATCAATTGGTTTGGGGTGGGATGGGTTCATAGTGCTGTTGAGATGCCCAAAAGATCCTGGGCCACATCTGAGCCCCAAAAGGTGCAGGCTTCATGGCTCATTAGGAAACAGCAAGCTCATTTAAATTGAAGGGTTCAGAAAGGGACAGGAGTAAAAGAATACTGAGCCTTTAAAAATAAAATTGGAGGCGTTGTAGCCTATAGTCAGTTACTTTTGTTTAATTTACAGGGCTACGCTTTTCCCTACAAATTCTAACCTATGTATTTTATCTTTAATTGGCAACATCTTCAGTCACATTCTGCTGGGACACCTCAATTTTAGCTCATCTGGTCACACAAACTGTTGTAGCCAATAGCAGAACTCCAGTAACTGTCTTGGGAAAACTGTCCTGTTTTCTGTGTATTGAGGATCTCTGCTATGAACTTGCTACAGTTGCTTCTGTGGAGAGGTTCCCTAACATCACATGGCTGTGGGCCCCTATCTTTTACAATAGCTAAATAGTAGGGGTTGTTTTTGTTTTTTGCCAAAATTTGATGATGGTAGAACAATACAAAACTACATTAAATCTCATGACTCTCTGCACCAAGTAGAGCTGTTTGTTTGGCAGCTCCAGCATGTAATACATCCATACTACATTTGCACAGCCTTAGCCTCTCTGCCTTCATTAGCAATGTGAGTCAGATCTAGTGCCCAGCTGAATTAACATATCTCAGCCAAAGGAAGCTTGTATTATTGTAAACGGGGGTTAGTGGAATGTACTGAAGGCAATTAACCATTGTTCATAGCCTAATGCTATAATAGACTTTTAAAATTGCTAGTATATTTCATCCTAGGATGCAGTTCGTTCTTCCATTCTACTAATGAAAATACTTTAGATCAAAAGGTGGCATCCAGTATACACAGGTGTATTTTTGTTTATGATTGTTCTGTGTCCCATATTTCACAGATAAGCTTCCTGATTCTGGACCACCCGAGTCCATAATATGATCATAGATTTACTGCACTCTGTCAAAGCAGAAATTTCAGAGCCAGGTTTGTCATGTCTTTCTGTTATAACGGGCTCAAGGTAAGAGAGCTGATATGAGCAAGCATCCGGCGAGGGGAAAGAGATGAGGTATTTGAGTGCTTCTCTTGCCTGTAATCCTGAATTCTGTTTCAGACCTTCCCTCTTTCTCTTCCAGACACTCTGACCAATCATATTATAGAGTAATAAAAATATTTGCTTGCAATCTCAGCACTTGGTGTTTTGAAGAAAAGAATCGTATAAGAGAAATGGCTGACTTTATGGTTAAATCGGAGCAATAATATTATAGTAGACTAGAATACTATAATTATCTTGGTTAGATGGGAGCAATAGAGAACTGGACTATATTTAACTACATCAGTTCAGCTTGAACTCTTCAAGCCCCAAGTGTGATTTATAATTCCATACTGTGAATGCTGAGCCATCCCCTCTCACTGTGTTACACAAAAATAATAATGAAATAAATGATCTTGGTATTCTTTTTATGGGAGTCCCCGTCCCAAAGAGCAAGCATCTAAGTGACTTAGAATCCCAAAATACCTACATTGTATTTTCAAAGGTGACTAGGAGCCTAAGTCCCATTGACTTTTGGTGAGACTTAAGCTCCTAAATTACTAAGGCCCTATTGAAAATTTTACACTTAATTCCTATGGTACTTCTACTTAGTGGAGATAGAACAAGAAATGAGGGCTGATTAAACCAAATTCTGGTAGCTCTATTGGAAGAACTCCCATTGAAGAAGTTCATGTGGTTATTGACCCCAGACAGAACACAGGACTGGGTCATGTTCTGGATTTCTACACTTGGTATGGAAGAGAACAGTTCTTGTTATACCCAAAGTATACTCTTTTTGTTAGTAAAGAAGCTGTCAACTGTTTTTCAAAGGGGAATGTTGATTTCATATGCAGGAGAATAAAGGATTGGTCTTGGGTTTTAAGGGGGAAATAGCTCTTAAATGTCTAATGCTAAAAACATAACATTTGGGCTTTCTGACATGGCTCCAGACCATAGAGTATCTTTTACAGGCAAGAGAATTATACAATTCAAAATGAGCATGAGTAATAATGAGATTTCTTTAAAATCTGCATGAGCTTGTGTATGTTTCTATTATACGTGTGCGAGTGCTGTCACGGGACTTTCTACCATTGGCTGCAGTGGAAACAGGAGTGGATCCCTACTGACATAACTCCTAACAGCTCCCAATATGGACTGTAACAGGGTTTAAAAGGTTAAAATAAACTGTTCTATGTGGCAAAACTGGTGTTGTCCCGAGTATAACTGAGGGCAGAATGGGCCCCTAGTATTGTCAGTAAATTTAAAAACCTTCTAGAGTCTGCAGAAGCAATTAATTTGTGACCGAATGAAATCTGTGTGTGTAGTTTCACTTTCCGCATGTGTAGCTGCATGTTTTGCGCATGCAACTTAGCCACACAGCTTTGAAAAAGTTGCCCTTCTTCAACTCCCTGATTTCTGTATGTGTTCATCTTTTTTTATACTAGTCAGGACTAGACCAAGTGGAAATCTTGATGAAGCACCTTTGGTTGTTCAAATGCTGTTGCATATATGTCAGTTATGTTAGCTATATGCCTTACAGATGTATTGTAAAATAAATATGGAACTTCCCTATACCTACAGAGAATGTACTGACATGTTGCTTACAGCAACAGTTATGCTGAGGCAACTCCAGGAATTAACTCATATGGGAGGAAATTAACATATTTTTAAATCCTGTATATTACTAAATAGGATCTGTACTGAGACTCTTCTTAGGACTAAAACCAATTGCATAGAGCAAAGCTCACAGAATTGGCTCAGACTGACAAGCTTTTCAATCCCTGTGAATAGTTTCACTGGCCAGCACCCTGCCAATCAGAGAGCAAGTCCCTAATAGTCCTGTAAATTGCTCAACTGGTCTGGGGCCCTAGCCAACCAGTCGGAGCCCAGCTCCCTCCTTAACACTGCTCTGGGGCAATCTTGTCCTGGTTTTCATCGTGTTTGTGTGTAATTGGTTTCCTGGGGACCAACCAGCCATAGGCTTCCCCTCTATCATCTTCTGAGATAACTGAAACTTTCATGGCAAATTAGAAAGGCTGGAATGACACTGTAGCAGTCACAGCCTGGTTACTCCTTCCCCTTCTTTAACGATCGCATGTGTTCCTATCATTGCAGCTGTTGTTGGGTTTTATTATTATTATAACCTTAAACCTGGCTGAGTCACAGCAAGGCTGGAAATACCCAAGTTAGCAATTTTCTTTTTCACAGGAGCGTAGTAAGTCAATAAAAATGTTCTGCAGGAGAACAATAAAAACACCATATCCCACCTCTCCTTGTAACATAAGATATAAGAGAGAGAGAAAAGTTGATTTCAAGTGTTACCTTTGAATAGTATTGCAAATATTTGAGTCTAAGGCCATGCCTTTTAATTTTATTGTAACTTATGCTTGTAGTTTTGAATTGACTCAAAAACCAGTGTTCTATTATAAGCTACAACAGAGTTCAGAGAATGCCAGAGAGTTTGTACTTGTGGTTGAGAGCTCTGTTAGAGAATCCTTTTCTGAGAGTGCAGCACATTGAACTGTGGGCTCTGTTTAAATTCTGGTTGCTGTGGTTCACAAAAGCATATCTTAGAACATCAGAATTACATCTTTTTTTCCCCTGGTTGTCTAGAGCACTCCCACTGTAAGTGGAAATTTAAGAGAAATGTGAAGAATAATCTTACAATGTGTGAAGGGTATTTAAAAAAAAAAGGCACAAATGTAATTCTCCCCTCCACCCCGCCCCTCAATGAATGCACATCATGACAAATGGATAGGAGTTTGGAATGTCAAGGTTCTTTTTTGTAGAATTATTTTTAAGTGTCTCTCAAAGTTGGGCGGGGGGGAGGGACTACAGAATATAGTATAAAGGGGAAAAGTCCAAATCTTAGATAAAATATTTGTAAAATCAAACTTAAGAACCGAGAAATCTCCTTATTGAATCAGACCAGGGGTCCATCTAGTCCCATGTCCTGTCTATCTCGGAAAATGGCAAGTTTGAGGTGCTTCAGAGGAGGGGATGAGAGATGTTCCATAGGGGAAGTTTCTACCTAATCCCATTCTAGCCATGAAATTTCAAGTCCCCCTTGGGGAGGAGAATGGGGTCGGGGGCCAACTGTGCAGCTGTAGGTTACCATGGATTTGTTATAATACCACGGTGGTTGTACCACGTATTGCTGCCTTTGTCAGGTTCTCATCGCATTGACAAACTCTTTGAGCCCAGTCTTCCATTCCTTATTCCGTCAAAAGTCCTTCCGAGTTTTGCCTGAGGTGAGAAATCAGGCTCAAATCCTGTACCTGCTTAAATGGACATTTTAAATCTTAAAGCAACTCGTTCCTTGCATGAGTGTAAAGTGTAAGTGACTGCGCTCCCTTCGCACCATATCCATAGTTTATAGTGGGTGGAGGAACTGGGAGCAAAGCTGTTTGTGTGCCAGGAACTGGGATTCTCTAACCCAGTCCATAGGCTGTGCTGCAGTAGCAGCTGCAGCCTGTCTCTGCATGCTCCTGGTGCTGGACCTTCCATGCCCCAAACTTGAATAGAGTTTTTGGACAAAACCCTTTTACGCCGTTTGCTACTGGGCTCAGGTTGAGAACTTCAGTAAAGAGAATCTGGCCTTTGGGGATTAAATACAAGCCTCTGTCCATGCAGCGTTGCCTTCAAAGGTTCAAGTGCTGGGCTATTACTACTTTTCCTTTCTGTCCCCTCCACTCTCCCTAGGCAGCTTTTGGGATCCATCTCCTCCACATAAACCTGAGAACTGAGCACTTCTTAATACTCTTAAGCGTGACAACCTCACCCCTGTCCAGCCCTGTCATCCTTCTAACTCCCCTCTACTGTACCTTCTTCAATTCTGCAGTAGCCTTCCTGTAGCAGGTACAGCACTGCGCCCACAACCGTGTAAAAGCCCCAGGAAGTAGTTTGCTTGGTTGCTATAACAATGGCCCTGATTTATGTTCTGTTTATACAGCTCCACATGCTGATTTCCTCTTTTTTGTTGCCAGACCCCGCGGTGATGGTTTGAGTTTGTCTGTCATTATCCCAGCTCACGTGTCCTACTCTGTTTCCCAGCTCTTGACCATTTGAAGCCAAAATCATTGTTGCCATTTTGTGTTTGGTTGAACCGAGTCCTCATTGTGTTACCCGCTTTTTCCAGTCAGAGTGAGAGTGCGGCCTGTCTCTGCACAAGTGAGGCCACCTCGAGGCAGCTTCTCCCTTCCCTGCCATGTGCTGCTGTGCAGAAATATACAACAGCATCACTGAGGACCACGGATCTCACTGTGGGCAATAGCTGTCTGAAAGGGAGTAGGAGGAGGTGGGACTGGACATTTCATTCCACCAGCCCTTTTGTGATTTTTGCTCCTGTAATGTTTTACCCTAGCACACTCTGTATGCAACATTTTAAAAGGAAATATTTTGGCCTAACGTAGCCTTTCATCCAAGCAGCTCAAAGCGTATCCCATATAATCAGTGAATCTCACTACACCCCAGCCAGGTGTATTATTATTTATTGTTGGTCTTTTTTACAGATTGGTAAGGTGAAGTGCAATGGGCTAAATTATCCATGACTTACTCTCCATTACGTCAGTGGAGGTGTAAATCAATATAGAATTCGGTTACATGGTGAGTTGGGGGGAAGCTGGGAAAAAGCAGTCTTACGTGTCATTCACCTGATCCAACTACTACAACATCCTTCCACTGATGAAACCTGTTTTGAAGGTTCAGGTAGATCATCTGTGGCTTCATCCTTGGAAATTCAAAGTGTGATTGAAAGGAATTAGTTAATTCTGACCTTCCCTTTGAATCCATAGTCACTATCATTGTGGTGCTTGTACGTGTCCAGATATTTTCCTATTTTTGTCTGTAATCAATGACTTTACAGTCTTTCCAACTACTGAGGTTAGCTGGAAAGGTCTGCACTTTCTAATCTCGTCTTTTAATGCTTTCCTACATGAGGGTGTCTTGCAAGCTTATTTCCAGCCTATAGATTCCTCTCTTGAAGAGATTTAGAAAAATCTCTATTGTACCTTATTTTTTTCTTCCGTCTCAATTTAGAAATCGACCCTTTAGGCAAAGTGCTCCCTTCTGACTTTCCCATGTGTCTTTTTCAACAAAAGGATTTTACTTTATTCAGCTATGTTTCAAATGAGCAACTCTTGTGAACCATTGTTGGCCCTGTCTTGCCTACTTGGGCAAACCAGTCAGGGAATACTTCCAGCAAAGAAGAGACTGGTTATTTTTAATTACTCCCCATCAGTACAGTTAGTTGAGTGACCTTGACTGTAATATGGACAAGAGGTAGCCACTGGTTTTGGTCATGCTGGCTGTATTTTCTCAGGTTGGTGAGGGATGTGCTGATGCTTTAGTAAAGAATGCTGAGCTATTTCTTTCTTCAGATTGGTACAAAAATCATTAATTCATAAGCAACTTGATCAGTATTTATGGAGCCTTCCACGGACTTCAGTGGGTGTTGGATTGGGCCCTAACCGAGCATGAGAGCATGTATTGCTAATAAATTGTGCATGTGTGTCTCTCTCTCTCTCTCTGTTCCTCTGTCTCTCCTTCTCTCCTAGACTCTGCTTGGTGGCTAAAAGACCTTGATGAAGGCTTGACTATAGTAAGTGAAATTGTTTGAGCTCCCTAGGGTTGCCCATAAGACTTCAGGAAATTATTCATGCTTGGGCTGGCTGGTTCGGGATAGGTTGGCAGTGCTGAGGTTTTCGTCAGAGAAGCCTTTTCCTCCTTGTGATGCTTCTCATAGGCTTAGTGCTATAAGTTTGCTACTAACTGTGCTTTTCAGTAAAAACAAAACAAACCTTGCTCTGAGGTTCATTTCTGATATGAGAGGAACTAATTAAATGAACAGACACCTGCTAATGATTTATCTTAGAATGATCTTAATGAGGGGAGGTGTCCAGAGAAGATTCCAGATGAATAACAGTGCAAATCCCTTTTTCTTGGGATTTATGCAAACAACTGCCTGGATGCTGGAGAGGGGAAATGGAATCATATCCGTCATTCTGGAATCAGGAGTTTGAGCATTTCCTCCTGCAAAATATCTGCAGGAGCAGGCCAAGGGTGAGGACTCCCCTGTTGTACCTTGTCCCTAGTCTTTTCAATGGGAACATAAGAATGGCCGTACTGGGTCAGCCCAATATCCTGTCTACTGACAGTGACCAATGCCAGGTGCTCCAGAGGGAGTGAACCTAACAACTAATGATCAAGTGATCTCTCCCCTGCCATCCATCTCCACCCTTTGACAAACAGAGGCTAGAGACATCATTCCTTACCCAACCTGGCTAATAACCATTAATGGACTTGACTTAACCTCCATGAATTTATCTAGTTCTCTTTTAAACCCTGTTATAGTCCTAGCCTTCACAACCTCCTCAGGCAAGGAGTTCCACAGGTTGACTGTGTGCTGTGTGAAGAACTTCCTTTTATTTGTTTTAAACCTGCTGCCTATTAATTTCATTTAGTGGCCCCTAGTTCTTATATTATGGGAACAAGTAAATAACTTTTCCTTATTCACTTTCTCCACACCACTCATGAATTCTATACCTCTATCATATCCCCTCTTAGTCCCCTAAGGAGGAGGGGCTTGTGACCATGTAAAGGCTGGGCTGAATTGCCATCCTTATGCTTGGGGAGTGGGAATAAGGTTATTAATTAGTTGATTATTTTTGACCTACTGTCAAATCAACTTGTGCTTCTTCCTGTTATAAACCATCTAGGGGATTTCTGACCAATATTTCCCATTTTCAAAGACCCTGATCTTATTCCCACGGAGGCAAATAGCAAAACTCTCCTCTAGGTCAGTGATCAAGGAGCAAGTGCACACTCCTTTCCAAGAGACAAAGTGAAGTGTATATGTTTGTATTCAATACCTCCCTAATAATGCATATCCCATCATCTTTTCAGATGAGCCATTTCCAGGGCCCTGGATCAAGAACCCTTAACCTGCTCTGCAAATGCTTTCCTTTTACTGCACTGTGTTGGAAGTTGGGGGGTTTTCTTTACACCTGGCTGGCATGTTGTGGCAGTGGGGAAGATGTGATACCTGTATCAAATGGCTCATTCATCATCCCAGTAAAGGGAAATGTGCAGTAATGAACCCCCATGAGATAAATCCATTATGTTGTAAGAGGAGAAATCACTGTTTAAAGCTGGCGTTGATTAAAGTAACACAGGAAAGTTTCCTCAGCTTCCATTTTTCTTGCTACTGCAGCATCTGATGGGACCAACCCCGAGAAGGTCTCCCATTGACTTAGGGCCCTTTAAACACAGCTGTTCGGTTAAGTATGACTGTTTTCTTTTACATTCTGAGATAAGGGGCCAGTTGCTCTGCTATGGCCAAGGAGTGCACCGCAAGGGTGCAAACATGGCCTCACTTTTACGCTCCCCATATCCTGGGGCTACTGTGTGCAAGCATAAGCCAGAGCAGCCTAAAGGCTGCTGCAAGTTATGTTGCTTGCCAATGGCCCCAATGAGCTGAAACAGCTGGAGAATGATAGGGGTGCAGGGAAGCTCTGGTTACTACTACATGCCAGTAGATGCTGCCATCCCACCTCTCCCTCACCGAAGGGTGCCCCAGTATTGGCCATGGTCTGATACAAAGCACTTGAGAGTCTGGCCTCTGCTACCCTGTGCAGGATGTTTGGACTTGGGGAATTTGTTCTGGGTTAATTCTTGTGGTGATAAACATGAATTTAGTGATGCTATTGCAAATGATGATGATAGAAAAATAAT